CAGCAGCCTCAGGCTACCTGACCTGCGACAGTCGCGCCAACAGCGACTATGAGGACACGGATGGGGAGGCGGGTGCCTGCACTGACGGGGAGGCCGAGGACACCTATAACCAGGCAGGGCTGTCCCGTTCCTCTGAGCCAGCACAGGCTTCCCCGAGCCACAGCCTCAGAGACCAGGTGAGTGTTCCCACACTGCTACAAGGGGCTGGTGGGGCTACCAGGGCTAGTTCCTACGCGCTGTGGCACAGGCAGGGTCTCACATTGAGCTGCTGTAAGGTCTGGCTGCATATCCATGCCCAGCTCTGGTTCTCCATGGGGGAACATAGCCCAGACCGAGGCCAGGGCACAAATCCTGCTCTTACCTCTGACCCCTGCATCAGTCTGGTCTTTCACAGGTGATGGAGGAGCAGCAGCAGGAGGAGCAGCAGCAGTACCACAGCGACATCAGGTACTCTGCACACCAATGCCAGCCTGGGGGGCAGGGGGGGTTCAAGCAGCAGCCCCAGGGCTGGGGAAGGTGCCAGCTCAGCCTGCCCTGCCCTTGCCATGTCCCCACCAGTGGCAGAGGCATCACTGCAGCTTCTCATCCCGCAGGGAATACGAGCATGCTGCTGTGAGGAAGAGGTTCATGCAGGCCAGGGATGACTCAGACCAGGATGAAGGCTATGAGTGGGGTCCAGCTACAGATGTGTAGCCCTGCCACTCCCCATGCATCATCCAGGTAGTGCCATGCAGCACCCTGCACCTCCCAGCACCACCAACTGCCTCCTTCCCTGTTTTGGTCTGTACTACTGGAATAAAAGGGATGTTTTGACCAAGTTGGGCTGTTGCTGTGCGTGCTGGCTGGCAGCACACGGGGGAAACCTATGGAGCAGGGTGGCCTTGCTGGGACCTCCGTAGGCTCCAGTTATGCCAACAGCCAGCATTACAGCTGAGCCTCCCCTGCTCCCAAAACACAGCTTCCCATGTTCCCTACAACGTTTATTTTAACACCAACCAAGCCCCTGGGCACAGCCAGGTCAGCACCACCTCAGCCATGGGGTGAAAACACAGCACCAGGGGTGATCCTTGGGCTCATGATCCCAGGCTTCCCAGCAGGATGTGGGCCTGGGTAGTGCTGGGTCCTGTGTTCCCTTTCTCCACGCTGAGGGCTGTGACCCAGCGCCGTGCGTGTGGAGCGGCTGCAGGCACCGCCAGGCAAAGGCAGAGGTAGTTTCTCAGCTCGGTGCAACCAGCTGCACCCCCCAGGCTCCTGGCAAAGCCAGGGAGAAGGAGTGGGTGCGAAGGGTGCTGCTGGGTCTCCCTTGGGGTGCCAGCGTGCACGCACATGCTGGTGAGCCCTGCACTTGTGTTTCAGCACCAGCCCCACATGGGGAAAGGCACCATTGGTGAGCGTAAAAGCACTATGTGGTGAGCAGATGGGGTGACACCTTTCACATGGGGTCCCCTCTCCTCCTGCCAGCACCAGGCCAAGGTGAGGGACTCCGTGAAGTGGCGGAACAGGCACTGTGAGGTGGGGAGGAGGTACTCAAACTGTGGCACCACTGGCCCTGACACTGCTCAGGCCCCCAGAGCCTCCCCCCTGGGTCCTGAGTAAAGCTGAGGAGGTGCAGGATTAGACCCTGCTGGGCTCTGTTGAGGGTGCTGGGGCAGGAAGCAGAGCCTGTCCTGTCCTTGCAGCCCCAGGCACGTGCGGCAACAGCCAGGCTGGTGCTCAGAGGAAGATGGGCTGCTCCTGCCCGGTCAGCAGGCGGTACGTGGAGGCCGGCATGGTCTTGATGTGGACCTGGGCAGAGACACACACATCAGCTGGGGATGCCAAAGCCCAGGCTGGAGGGTGCTGGTGCCAAACCAGCTCTGTGGGCAGCCCCAGCCCCAGCTCACCTCACTGACAGCCTGCGTGAGGATCTGGATGATCTTCTCGTGTGGTGTTGCCACCACGCTCTGCCCGTTGATCTCGATGATGCGGTGCCCCACGCGGATGCCGCCTCTCTCTGCGATGCCCCCACGCATCAGGCTGCAGATC